TAGTCACCAGACCTTGCTCCTTCAGATTACCACTTGTTCCGATCGGTGGCACACGCACTTTCTGAGCAGCACTTCAAAACGTACAAAGAAGTGGAAAATTGGGTCCCTGAATCGTTTGCCTCAAAACAGGAAAAGTTCTATTGGGACAGTATCCACCAATTACCTGGAAGATGGGGGACATATGTAGCTAGCGATGGACAGTACTTTGAATAAAGCACTTTTGATGTTTCTCTTGAAAGTATTGTGTTTTCTTTGATTACAAAATCAGCATTATTAACCGGTACACCTAGTATTGGCAGCCTCCTGCACGCCCCCTACTGAGGGCTGAGCCTGCAAACCGGCAGACCGGCAGTTGAACTGTGACCTCCTGGTTCAGACGGTTGACATTCTACCTCTGCGCCACACCAGCCAGGCAACATACTATGAACATTAACCCTCCATCTCTTACACATGTTGCAAATATGTTCTTCATATCCAGTGCAGGGGCGTCAAACTCGTGGCCCGCGGGCTGCATACAGCCCACAACGAATATTTTTGCGGCCCAGCCAATATAACGGTGTGAGCAGTTATTTACAATTATGAAAGGAAATAAGTCTCCTGTCAGATCCAGAATTACTGACATTCACCGTGGGTCAGTTTTGAAAGTAATTTCCCCCAAAGTAGGAAAGAGAGTAGCAGAGAAGGGATGCCAAGTGTCAGGAAGAAAACATTAATTTTATCATTGCTCTTGTTCTCTGTTTTTCTATACTATACTTTTCTAAATAAAGCTACATTTCTATGAAAATTGAAGCTTTTGGTTTTTTGCGGTCCACATAAACTTAGAACCCCCCCGCCCTGCCGTCTTATATGGACGAGACTCTACATATGATAGTAACGATTGAGTACATTTTTTATTTGGCAATACAGGTCTACTGATGAGAAGAATGGAATTCTTTTAGTGGAGATAATATTTTGCTTAATTGGGATTCAAAGTTAGTTTTCCATCATCAAATAGATTGTGAACGTTCATCTGTTTGATGAAATCATATATACTTCCATCTTCGAAAACGCTTCAAATAAATAGATACTGGCAAATCCGGATATCCATAGCATATGATTTACATTGAACATATTCACTGCTTGGAAGGTGTCTATAGAATCCCATTACATTCACCTGCTAGCATGTCATTGAATGTCAGACTAATCACTTCTAAATAAAGGTTAAGTAGCATCGCCTCAACTGCACAGTAAAGTGAATTTTGGAATAAGGAAACGTCCTTCGCACCTGCACAGCGGTCTGAAAATGAGATTGGAACAATAATTTGCGCCTGTAAAAAGATGTGATCTCTCCTAATTTTGTGTGAGGATAGGGATCTCACTTCTGGTTTTAGATTTTGACAGCACTGCAAGTTTATAAAGCAGCTTAACGTCACTTGTGATTCAAACAATGTTAGTTTTCATCGAAATGACTACAGTAAAAGTTATGGTATAAGCTGTTTTATCTTGTAATTTTAGGTTGAATTCATAGTTTGCAGCAAAAGCTAATTTCCAAAGCCATTCAGTGTTTGATAAGTGATTAAGGGCAGTTCTTTTCATGTAGAAAAATTTAGATCTTGGCCCTGAGGTCAAATCTTAATAAAATGTTCACACACACACACACACACACACACACACACAACTTTACCACTTTTAATCATCAAACTGCTGACTATGTGGTAAGGTATATCAGGATGCTTAATTTTTAAAAAAATTAAAGACTCACCTGAGGATATGTGGTTTTTTTAAAAAATTGATTTTAGAGAAAGAGGAAAAGGGAGAGAGAGAGAAAGAGAGAGAGAGAGAGAGAGAGAGGGAGAGAGAGATCTATCAATAAGAGAGAGAGAGAGAGAGAAACATCAATGTGAGAGAGAAACATTCATCAGTTGCCTCCCTTACATGCCCTGACTGGGGATCAAACCCACAACCTAAGTATGTGGAGGTACATGGTATGATGCTCCACATTAAGTTGCCCAACCAGGGCTTCAATTTCTATTTTTGATGAAATTTCTTGAAACTAACAATGGTTAAGTCCATGAGAGCAAATAGAGTTCACCATTGACATTACTAATTCAATAACCCATGGTAGATTCAAATATTTTCCACAAAGTTCCTGCTTAGCAAATTCTAATTGATATAGTACTGAAATTAAGGTTTTCTCAATTAAAAAAAAAATTCCTCCCTGAGGTTGTACACAAACTACCCATAAAAGCTAATTTTTCAGTCACTTCAAAATTGGCATTGCCTGGCCAGTGTTGCTCAGTGGTTGACCATCAACCTATGAACCAGGGGGTCACGGTTTGATTCCTGGTTTGAGTCCCTGCCAGGCAGATTCCCAGGTTGCGGGCTCAATCCCCAATAGGGGGGCCATAAGAGGCAGCTTATGAATGATGCTCTCTCATCATTGATGTTTTTCTCTCCATCTCCCTTCCTTTCAAAATGAATTATATATACAGTATATATACATTGGCATTGACTCCTGAATAAAAAACACATTGAACAGTATCCATAATATATGTTTACTCACCAGGAGCCAAGCAAATATACTTTGGTTTTAACCTTATTTTTGTGAAGAAATTCCAGTGTGATGATATATTTCATTTTGAACTTTCTAAATTTTTTGACCATTGCTTTTTGACACAGTTATCATGTTAATATCTGGCTTGTATTCAGCTTGCCAATCAGATACAAAGGGAGTAGATGGTTTGGCAGGTTCCTTGTCGGTTATAATGAACACACTAGTAATTCTGTAAGGCAAAATTTCAGGCATAGTGTCCTTCAGTGTCCCTCTATTTAGAATCTTGCAAGGCTAAAATTAAGATGCCAGCAGGCCTGTGTTCCATTCTGGAGGCTCTGGGGAAGAATATACTCTAGTCTCATTCAGTTGTTGGTTGAATTCAGTTCCTGTGGTTGTAGGACTGCGGTATTCCTTTCCTTGCTGCCTGTCAGCAGGAGTCAGTCTTTGCTCCTAGAGGCTGCCTTTATTCCTTCTTCTGCCATTTTTATGTTTCCCACGTATTTGTTGAAGTTCTCACTGAGTTCATTTATAGTTCTTTGACACTCCACCAAAACTTAACAAGATCAGTAGAATCTGAAACCATTTATACACTTTTTGTTTTATTACATTAAAATCTGTGTAAAATCATGTATGGCTTTGTAATATCACACATCGGGCATTTGGAAAATATCTGTTTACTAAGTTATCTAGGGCAGTGGTTCTTAGCTATAGCGGGGGAATGGGGGAAATGGGGTGGTGGGGAGTGATTTTACACTCCAGGAAAATATTTGGCAATGTCTGGAAGCAGGTTTGGTTGTGACGTCCACTAGTTAGAGACCAGAGAGGCTGCTAAACATCTTACAATGCACAGGATGGCCCTCTACAACAAAGATTATACAGCCTCAAATGTCAATAAAGCTGAGGTTGGAAAAGCCAAGTCTACTTAATGCTGGCATATCTCATTATACAATATCAACAATTTCTATTTGTTAGTATCACCACTAATCTTTTTGGGGAAAGTTTGTCAGTATTAGGAAGCTGTCAAGATCATGATGGTGGATACAAGTTCTCCAAAAACTTTAAAGCTCAAATGTTATCATTTACAAGATACATTTTCAGTTATTTTTTTCATGTTATAAAGCACACTGTTTTAGAAACAACCAAGTATCTGTCCATTGTTTTTTGCAATTGAAATTGGTGTTCCGGAAAAAAAGAAATGACTTTTCTCACAATGACACAACTTGTTCTACTCAAGACAGCCATCACACTTGTATACAGTTTAAGTGTTTTATAGGGTACTCACCTTTTTCTTTTTGCCGTAATGAGTGACATGACTAACGCAGTGAATAATAATACAATTTGGCACAACTGCCTTGATTAAAGCAGCAGCAGCTTTACCCACCATTGCTTTTGAACCGTCAGTGCAAATGTCCACACAGTGGAAAAAGCAAATTAGCTTAGTGCTAATAAAACTATTTTGACCTTATAAAGACCTTGAAAGGGTCTCAGGGTGCTTGGGGGCCAAGGGGCCATACTTTGAGAGCTTCTGCTCTAGGTTTATGAGAGAAGTAAACCCCCATTTTCACAAGTGCATTAATTAGGCTTTTAAGTGCGAGATACCTGTATCTCTAGTTTTCAAGCCATCTACTATAGACTTGCCAAAAAGTCAGCAGTCACACATAGATACTCTTTTAAAAAGGTCTCTAGCTTTATTGAAATGTAATTGACAAATAACAACTGTACATATTTAGCATGCTCGACATGATATTATATATATGTACACACACACACACACACAGTAAAATGATTACTATAATCAGGTTAATCCACATATCCATCACCTCACTTATTTACCACTAGTAGCCCGGTGCACGAAATTCGTGCACATTAAAAGGGCATTAATTAAAAAAAGGGGGGGCATTAATTGCCCTAACCGATTTGGCTCAGTGGATAGAGCATCGGCCTGTGGACTCAAGGGTCCCGAGTTCGATTCCTGTCAAGGGCATGTACCTTGGTTGCGGGCACATCCCCAGTGGGGAGTGTGCAGGAGGCAGCTGATCGATGTTTCTCTCTCATCGACGTTTCTAACTCTTTATCCCTCTCCCTTCCTCTCTGTAAAAAATTAATAAAATAT